ATACACCGAATATGCGCCTGGGCACACTTTAACGACAGCTATGCCTGATTTTTTTTTTGTCGCAGAATAATATAGGTGAAAGATAAAAATATCCGCTACGAGGAAAATATGACTTTGAGTGGTTGTAAGAATTTCTTTCATTTTCCCCCCTGCAGCTCAGGAAAATAGTGGTGTGTATGATCAGAAAGCTGTCGAGGGACAGTCTCCTCTAAACCACCTCTGGAAAATTTCCTCCTACGTTCCCTTTAGTTTATTACGTCGAGAAGCAGCTTTTGATGGCGGCTGTGTCAGCACTCGCAGCAGCGGAAGCATTCGTTCGTCACGCCACATTGCTCGACCATATCGACGAAATATAGGAATGCGTTTGCTGCTGCAGTTGCGCCGCTGCTCTCGGCGAGGATTTCGTGAAACATCTATTGTTCATTGATTGCTATATACCTGTGATAGGCGACCGCGACAGGGGAGAGCAGTTTTCACCGCCCATACATTTCGACCAGCTCTACAACAGTACTTTTTTCAAATTTTTTCCTTTGTCAGACGGCGGCTGACTAGCGTTCGCTGCTTGAATGAATGAAAGCCTGTCTTTCATAAAGAATACCCGCAGTGAGAGCATGAGCCATGCGTTGTTTGCTACTGTAGAAATGATTCTTTATGGTGTATGTAGACTATGTCCATTAATGAATTGATCATGGGAGGGTCGAACAGTTGTGAATGATCCTCTCAGCTAGGTGTTCAGTCGACTGTAGCTTTGGTGTAGATGTCATGTGATTGTTGGCCCTTCTCTATCCACTTAGCTAAAGCAGATGCTTTACCAAGTTGGTTCGTATACTTGGGATTCTATAGACAGTGCAAAAAAAAAAAAAGTCGGATCACGCAGTAAGACGCACAAATGTAGTACTGTATCTGTGCGCCTTTCTGTGTGGTTCGTCTTTTTTGTGCTGTTCAATCTTTGACACCTGTACAGTAGTTTGACTTGGTTTATGTTAGTACTCAAAGTAAAGTGAAACAGAAAGCTTGCGTGTTCTGCGCTTGGATATATCCGAAAGTATGCTGCGAATCATGCGCACACCATGTCCGTCCTTTTATCATGCACGTGGTGGTGCTTGTCCATAATTTGACGCCTGAAACTTGCTGTGAGACTTTCATTCTAGATTGTCATGGAAGTTGGTATGCTACGCTCTTGTTAGGAGCGTTGCTTTTAAGGAGGATGTAGCTGGGAGCCCCCTGCCGAATGTTTTGCATCTCATTGTATACGTTCACACATAAAAAAACATGTATTAGCATGCATAAAAGGCGATTTAACCCCCCCCCCCTCTCTGAAAACAAAATCGTGGCTGCGTTTCTGGCTATTAAATTGATCGTTACCCCGTAAGAGGACTCGTTGTATAAATGTGCACCTATTTGATATATATATATATATATATATATATATAATATATATATATATATATATATATATATATATATATATATATATATATATATATATATATATATATATATATATATATATATAATATATATATATATATATATATATATATATATATATATATATATATATATATATATACTGGAACTCAACTAGTAAAAATCAGATTTCTAATGACAAAACTCCCAAATGGAGCTCAGCCAAGCCTGTTCCTAGTTTTGTGCGTGTGATAGCTCTGCTTCACACTCGGCTTCTCCAGCAAGTGTAGGCCCCGCACAAATATTTTTATGCAACACTACAACGTGTTAGTTTCCTTTATTATGTGAGGATATTTAGCCATTGAGGAGGACATTGGTTGACGCCTCTCCGGCGCCTACCCCAGTGGGAATTTGTGAACTCATTCTTTGCCAGTGACGTCGCGCTGTCAAGCTTGCGATGATTGAGCGTGTTTCGCTAGGTATTCTATATGCCACTTGTGCCTGAAAGGCTTTTACAGGCAACAGCACGAGCGAACGCCGCATGTGAGTCCGCTGTGAGCGTTACAGACAGTAACTGAAATCATGGTTCAATCAAGGAATTGCGAGCGAACATATGCTGACCAGGCTGATTGGGTTCGGTAAGAGTAGCTGCGTGTCATTGAATGAGGAGGATACATTCATAATAAAGAAGTGGACTTTGCTAGGTTCTGTTGAATTTCGGTTAGTGAAAGTGCCCAGAGAGGTTCTTCACGTCCATTTCCTTTTGTTCCTCGGGAAAAAAAAAGTGCTCGACCAGTATAGTGAATTCTGAGTGCAGTACGTTCTATAGTTATATCACATAATTATATAACGTGGGTGGCACTCCTCGCGCCATTTCTTAGAAATATAGAAAGCACATATATATAGCTGCAGCTCGGACTGTCCTGCCGAGGAGTTGATGCTTTATTGTGACTTTCGGTGCTGTAGTATACCACAGCAAGAAACTGTCGACGTGGTACGTTGGGGCGCGCATCACCGCTACTGCAGTCCATTTGGGTTTTTCCTAGACACACGCGCTTCCAGAGGACTACCAATCACTCCACGGCGTTGGAAGGTCCGCGGCCAAGGAGGAAAAGCCGTCCGCCTTCCCCTTCGTTACTCAAGGAAAGACGCCGTGCGAAACTTGCTGGACGCGGCATGTGGCCACGCTTTCGTTGCTGTTCATGCCACCGCAGACGAATACGAAAGAAAGAAATGAAGAGGCAAAAAAGAAACAAAGAAGGGCTCCTTTGTGTACATATACGCTTCAATTGACGTAAGGCGTGCGCGCATTTTCGTTTATTATGTACTTTTACTCCTCTCTGTTTTCCCTCTCACATATTTCTTTTTTTTTTCTGTTGTGATGTAACTTTCGGTAACCAGCCTTGTTCGAGTTGCAGAGATGGGTATTTTATTCGCATGTTTTCCTTTCATCATTGTGAGCAGCATCTTACGCGTCTAACGGTGGTAACCAAGGTTAGTTTAGTTAACTCTTTGTACGTTCTTTCTATGGAAACGCCTGCTCTACTAAGGTTAAAACGAATCGGAGAAAAAAATGCCTTCACGTCAGCCAATTTAACTGTACTCGGTGGTAATTCGCCCAAGAAGGGCTCCAATGGTTCTAGTCACGTACGCAGTGGTTTAGAAATTTTGACGGACAACTTCACGTCACACGAGATTTAAACTGATCCGTTCACCAGTTCATTGCATGGAATTTCATCCGTTGCTCACAAAATTTTGCAGTTTTATTTTGGTTGCATCTGAACGCATGTCCTAAACGAGCATCCTAATTCCAGGTTGGCCTTCGCGCAAACTACTTCCACACTAATTTACGCAAAGAGGAGGTCAGTTTCACAGCATGAAGGCAAAACATTCGAATGAATACTTATATGTTCACGTTGGCGCCTGACAGCGTTGCTTACCGCTGCCGTGATAAAGAGCCTGCCAGCAGTATTTCTGGTGTTCTCAGTACTGAACGGTGAAACCGAGGAAAAACCATTGGCGTTTACCGAGAGACAAAACAAAATATTTCACCCACAACGGTGGCCTGATGGTGCTCGGCTGCAGGTCGCGGGATCAAACCCGGCCGCTGCAGCTGCACTTGAGATGGAGGCGAAAATGCTTGCGGCCGCATTTTTTATTATTTAAGCGTACTTAAAGACCGCCAGGTGGTCGACATCTCTGAAACCCCCCACTCTGGCGTGTCTCATAATCATATGTATAGCGGTTTTATGATGCCAAACTCCAACAATTATACTATTGAAATATAAGAAAGCATTAACACAGCGTGGCATCGAGCACGGATCGGACGCACACAGGTGTAAGAACGCTACAATGCATGTGCGCGCAACGCACATCCTACGCAGTGGAAGGGAGGAAGGAAGAAAAATAGGAGGAAAAGAACAGCAGGGAGGTTAACCAGCCTATAGGCAGCCGGTTTGTTACCCTGCGCATGGGAGGGGGATGGGGTAAATGAAGGTTAGAGAGCAGAGAAGGGAGAGTGATAAACACAGCACATTTGGCAGCACACGCGCGCACACTCAGTCATAGTTCAGTCTTGTCTTTCGCGGTGTGTGACATTGCTGTTACAGCCGCTTGTTCAAGTCCGCGTGGCGTAGGAATTTGAACAGAGCTTTTGTTACCTTCGCAACATTGACCTGGCTACAGGAGAAATGTCTATGGAGGCCCTCACGCCAGCGTCACGCGTGTGCCTTCAGTGGCAGGACCACATGGCGATGCCAACGGCGCAAGTGTGCCCGGGAAATTCACACATAGAAAACAAAACAAAAGGGCAATACAATCTATAAAGACCGACTTTTTCGTTCACGGTCATCACAACTTGCAGAAGCTGCGCTTGCAGAAGTGCCCATTTTGCTATCTGCAGAGTGGCCGTCGCTTATGTCTATAGGCTTCTGGCGTCCATAAGTAGCCGCGGCTATGACCCAGGTTCTTCTTAACAGCCAGAACTGAAATCCATTTTGGAGTATAAATACGTGCCGACCGTGCACGTAGCTCGCGTACTTCGTTTGGTGTTCGTACTACTTAGGCGAGAAGATGTGCCCGCGCGTGGGTTTACGCCCTTTATTATCGCGCTCAGCGCATCTCGAACTGTTGGCTCACTGAATTCCATTACTGCTCTATTGAACTAGCTTTTAACAATATATGTGGTATTCCGTTCGAAAAGCGTGATATGATTGTGAGGCACACCTTCGTAAAAGACTCCGAAAAATTTGACCACATGGTGCCCTGGCATTGCACCGCGCACGGGCCTCTAGCATTTCTCATCCATAGAAACTTGACAGCTGCGGCCATAATCGAACCGAGCACGTAACCACTTCACCTGAGAGGTGAACCCTAGGAAATAATTTTGCGTATAGGTCTGACGGCATAAAAGCGCGTCAGCATCGGGGTCCCCACGCTGTGCTGTTCAGCCATGTATCAGCTGCACATGTAACCATGTAACGCGCTGCACATCGTTACCTTTCGTCTGCTTAGGTGGTTCTTTGAAGTGGCCTGTATGTACTGGTCTCGCAGATTCCACCCCCCTCCCCCTTTTTTTTTTTTAAATCACCTTTGTGGAAAGAACTGTATACAGAGCACAAGTTTTGAAGCAAAATAAAAATGCTTTCCACCATATATGGTTGTCTTCTCGTGAGTTTGAACGCCAGATGCACTTTCAATCGACCAGAGTAATGGGAGCTCCATCAGCCGGTGGGTCTATTTGAGCGAAAGCTTGGACGATAGCGTCCCAGACCGCAAACCAGTGGCGCTTACTTGCTTCGGTGCTTGGGCCGCCTGTCCGTCAGCACGGCCAGCCACCGGTGAGCGACGCTTTGCGCGCAGCTTATCTGGGACAACTTGTTCCGAATCACTTTCTTCTTCTTCGTCGTCGCTCTGCGGCAGCTTCCTGCTACTCGCTGTATTGGGGCCCTTTTTCTTTCTCCGTTGCTAAACTGGCTCATGTGCTCTTGGCATTTGCTTTCCGGGCGCGCTCCGCTGCCCTCTTTCCTCCGGCGCACTGTTGGGAGTAAATGACCTGTAAGGAGAAGAAAAAACGATCAAACTCGCATCTCTGCAATGACCTGACGCTTTGGAATGCACGACGCGAGCGCACTGGCTGCTTGTGCCGACCTGTGCGAATATACGGCCAGCCCCTGCGCGTGACGGAAAGGCGCGATGCCACGTTGGCACCGGACACACCGACACGAGGGTAGTGCTACTGCACTGCGGCGATGGACGTCTTTCATTACTCCGTCGACATTGAATTGTAACTTTCTAGGCACTTAATTTTGTTAATTGTATGCACATTGGCGCCACTCCTCATGCCGCAAATAAAATCGCGATTACTCCCCGATTCTTGTAGCCTGTTATTCGCTTAGTGCTGGTGTCAGTAATGGGTTCGATTGCTGCCAACAGGCTTTGTTCCGAGGCCTAGGGTGTTCGTCTGGCTGATCAGAAAGGAATAAACCTGTCACTTGATATTATATAATATTAGATGCGAAGCATTCTTTGACTAGCCTGTGTAACGCTGTCCCTCCTTCCGCACCACCCTCCCCTGGCCGCAGGTGTTGGGGCGGTGCCAAGTAGGTCACGCCTTCCCTCGAAGTGCGCGCGCGTTGACGTCACACTCTCCCTAGTCTGTCGCCGCTCGCCGCATGTCATGTCACTCGCTTCATCCTCTCCACCATTCGCACGTTCGAGCGCACATTGAGCGATGAGTCTTTCTGCGATCAATCTTACAGAAAACCTAACCCGCCTCCCGTGCCTTTTCATTTCAAACAAACTTTCACTCGAGTAAACACTACACCGAGTTACCCTTCAAACCGTTCTTCCAACGCTAGCGTCGACGCTCGTTTCAACCGAGTCAACGCCATGCGCACTGCTGCTGCTTCGCATTCCATCAGGGTTCCCTTCAACGCGATAGCGTTCGAGAGCTCGTGTCACAGAAATTCCGTCGTGGGCGTCGGCACGGCTGGTTGTGAGCGAAAACTCGCCTGTAAGCCAAAAATTGAGATAGAAGCAAATAAAACAAAGAACGAAATTTCAGGTACCATTGAGGATCGATCCCGGGCCGTTCGCGTGGCAAGCAGGTGTCTTACCACAAAGCCCCGATGTTACTTGACGCTGATTCGGGAAAAACACTACATAAATGCCATGTAGCAGAAGAAGTCTCCTTATCGTAATTTGCTCGATAGGTGTCAAGACGAAAACTATAGCCCATTCGCCGATTTGTTGGCGCATTTGGGAGGCCATCAAACTACGTTGAAAGAGGCCGGTATAGTGCAGCCATCGCCGCTAAAAACACACACAAACTTTCAAACAGCCATTTGTGAGGCATTGTGAGACTCTTCATAGCCTCCGAGATGTCGAGCGCGTGGCGTGTATCTTGGAGGCCATGCGACTCTTGCTTCAAATAAAAAACCTATATCATTCGCGCGCGCTCGCTGGTACAATCTACTGTGTGCGCGCGTACGTACGCGCGCGCGCGCGCGCGCGTGTGTGTGTGTGTGTAACAAAAGATATTGATAAACATGCTCTTAGCGGTGGAAGGGCGAACTAGGGGCCGGATTTCGCTATCCCGTTCAACTCTTAAAGGCAAGGCTTAAAGGCGAACTCCGGTAAATTTTCCGAGGTCGATGAATCTCAGTGAAATTCGCAGGGTACGTTCCTTGGCACATTTTTGCCATTTATGCCAAATTACAGGCTTTAGAGATGCGCTGATTGTTTGCAAATGAATTTTAAAGATTGCCTCGGAAAGCTCACCTCGCTTGCCAGAATTTTTGGCAACACTGTCTGTGTGACGTCCTGTTTGGCATATCAATGGAAGTGACGCAGCCGATGGCATCCATACTTTGGCCCCTACAGCGTTTATTGTGCTGGCCACAAGGCGACAGCGGCGGTGTTTGGCACGAGTATATCACGGGAAAGCTTTCTTCCTTCTTCTGTGGTGTTCAGCCAGTGCTTCCGTGGTCTGGCTTTCACAGCTTTCATACTTCACGCCAGCGGAACCAGTATACGGCCTCCGGTTCTTGCCAAATAGTACGCCATATGCAGACAGGGCGCCCATTTCGGTTTCGGGTTTGCACGTTTTTGCTTATTAAAAATTATTTTTGAATTTACTGACCATTTCAGCTATTCGGCTCGTGACAAGAGTGTCTCAGGAACATAGAAACACCATTATCTTGACATGGTCAAAAATCACCGGAGTTGGCCTTTGAGGGTCCCCCATTTTTTTTAGATGTGAAGCAGCTCTTTGACTAGCCGTGTAACGCTGTTACTACGTCCACACCACGCCCGCCTGGCCGCAAGCGTTGGGACGGTGCCAAGTAGGTCACGCCTTCCCTCGCAGTGCGCGTGCGTGACGTCACTCTCTCCCTAATCTGTCGCCGCTCGCCGCGTGTGACACTCGCAAACACTGCCCCTCCCCTGCCCCTCTCTCGCGTCGCAAGGCTGTTTGCTAGTTAAAAACTGACTGCTCGCTCTGCACAACACTTCATTGATCACCCCGTATATGTAGGCAGTAGATCGCGCGTTTTGAATTTAGCGAAGTGTGTCTTAGCCTTCGCTTGATGAGCGCCACCTTCAACGTCGCCGCCATAGCATTGCAAGCGTTAGCGCCCGCCACTTCGCATCTACACATGGTTCCCTTTAGCGGGACATGGTCTTTTTTGCCAATGAACTCGCTACTATCAACACTCCGTGGCAAATGGAACCAGTCGCGTTACATGGATATGGCAGCAAGGTTCGTTTTATTTAAGTGAGTATTATAGTAATATCTCACATTTAGTTTGGAAATGTGCGAACTAAGGACTTTTATAAACGCGTAGCCGATAACTTTCCGAGTTTATCATGTGTATAAGTCTTAACTTTCGCTGTAGCTACAAGTTTCTTCGAAGAGACAGTGTTGATCATAGTGGACTTCCGATGGACGCCACTTTATGCTGCCGGTTTAATTATTTATTATCAGGTAGGGAAAACCGACAAGTAACAACGATGTGCATACAGGTAATAAGAATTACATCATTGTACTCACAGAATTAAATTTTTACGCCAAGTGCATTAAAAAAATGTCAAATATATTAGCCTATAGTTTGGGCATGAAGCGTGCATACATGCGCTACATACATGTGCTGCATCGATGCGCTGCATTACACTGCATAAATGTGCTAAATATGCGGTCAACATAACTCTGCAATCTTTCAATGACAGTTCCGGTAAAACTGAGCTGACAGTCGGCTTTTGTTGTTAAATACGAATCACTTGCCCTTCTCCCCCTGAAGTATGATGTACGCATTTGTACGTTTGTACTTTTGTGTATACATTTGCAATAGTATACCCGAAATATTGTAACTGAGAAGTGCTATTAATTGCAAGTACAGATGACAGCTTGTCGCTTGCCTGACACTTCCGCGTATTGTGTGTACATGCAGAGAATCATTACCTAAAAAAACCTCTTTAGAATCAAGGAGCTGTGAAACAGCGGCGTTGGGGCCTGCTTCCTGTCATTATATGGATGTATAGCTTCTGTGGGCATATAGCGTAGATTTCGGGAGTGCGCCTTCCGCACAGTTCTAGATAAGGTCTTATTAGAAACCACTTCGAGCTGAATCATGTTGGTTTGCAGCTCTGGTTTTAAAAAGCAATAACACTAAATAATATAAAACAGCACGCTAGATGCATTGGCAAGACTCGATGTAGTGTACATTGAATGGTAAGGTCTCGAATTCGTCTAGACTTGAAAAAGGATTGGCACAAACTGATAAGCAAGAGGCCAATAATGAGCTAGCGTTGAGGTGGGAAGCACAGGATTTCAGTTTCGCTTCAGATTATAATGGCGGCTCTAAGGTAGGAAACCGACGTAACGTTGACACAATGAACGATAATCTGACAAGTATCATAAGGACTGCAATGGAAGTCGAGGTACAGACGTTAGACAGGACCCTGGCCAGTTATCACAATAGACGAGAAAACTCCTAAAAGACGTCAGACCATAAAAGCCTTTAATGCAACACACAACACACAAAATAGGGCTGGCGGAGCTTTCGAAGTTAATCAATAGGATTAAGGCAGCCGACATAAGATGGTATAACGTGGAGAGAATTGAGCTTGCTGTAAAGAGTGGAAGAAGCCTAAAAGTTGCGAAGGCAACACTGTACATAAGTGAAAATCTGATGTATATGTATTATGAGATAAGGAAGGCAAGGTCACAACCATTAAAGATAGAGTAGTTGAGGTAGCGGAGGAGCTCTACAGAGATCTGTATAGCAGCCGTGACAACCAGGGTGATATCTTCATGCCGGTATCACACGGGCACTTTTAATCGCGATCAGGGCGATCCGGATCGGTTTTCTTGATTGCGATCAACTTTGTGACCGCTGCTACACTGCCCAAGCTAATCCGATTGAAGCTTGGGTCAGAAGAAATGCACCAGGAGGTACTTGCGTGCCGTAAAACATGTCACTGACAAAACTCGGCGTATGATATTTATGCGGAGCCCTTTATCAGCAATGTTATTTGAGCAATAACCGTTGGAACTTCAAAAACTTTGCGTGCCACTAAAGAGTTATTTCATTAATCCATCACTCGATAAAGTTTTCCTTGCACTTACCTGTATTGCTGAGTGAAATTCTTAACCTCCAATATTATTTCTGATGGCCCCCGCTCGTATCCGTCCAGTCGCAGCAAAGCATCAATCTCGTTGTACGCGCCAGAGTTTCACTTCTGGCGCCTCAAGTCTTCCAGTCGCTCCTGCCAGCGGTCGATTTGACCACGAAGTGCGCTTACGTTGCGACGTAGTCGAAAGGTTTGCGGCACTCACACTCCGTTTGCTTCGAGGTTCTCCAACAGCTCCGACAGTGCGAGAGTGGAACTGAGCGCGGAATGTAATGGTCGATTGCTTGTCGTCTGCTTGTCCCATAACTACATGCGATTGATACGAATCTTAGAATATGCAATATTTCAGATATTGTTCTAATTAAAACAGTTTAGAATTTGCTTTTTATAAGCTTGTGGCTGTTTTAAAGTTTTTTTTATTGA